GATGCTGGAGAGGATGTGGAGAAACGGGAACCCTCTTGCATTGTTGGCGGGAATGCAAACTGGTGCAGCCACTCTGGAAAACGGTGTGGAGGTTCCTCAAAAAATTAAAAATAGATCTACCCTATGACCCAGCAATAGCACTGCTAGGAATTTACCCAAGGGATACAGGAGTGCTGATGCATAGGGGTACTTGTACCCCAATGTTTATAGCAGCACTTTCAACAGATAGCTCTTTGAAAAATGCTTCTCAAAGTCAGTTACAACTGTAGGATTTGAACAGGCTTTCCCACTCACGCCACCCCACCTTATCCTTTAAAGTATTTCCTCACTCCCCGTTCCCAAGGTTGCATTAATTTTGTCTTTTAGGAGCACTTGGGTGGCTCAGTCGGTTAAGCGTTGGACTCTTGGTTCCAGCTCAGGTCATCATATCTGATATCTGCTATCATGATATCTCATGATTCATGAGTTCAAGCCCTGGGTTGGGCTCCATGCTGATAGTGCAGAGCCTCCTTGGGATTTGCTCTCTCTCCCCCTCTGTCTCTCCCTTGCTCTCTCTCACTCTCTCTCAAAAATAAATAAACTTTAAAGATTTTTTGCATGTTTTAGTTTCTTCTGTGCAGACTTAGTCTTTGAGACATGGATAGAGGTTCACCACTCTATAGAAAACCTTGAATAAATTATGGCCAGAGGCCTGGAAAATGTTTCCTAGGCTCCACAGTTTCACGAGCAACGCTGGGCCTTCCCGTGACTGAAGTGATAGTGTTAGGGTGTCAGTAACAGATGGGATTGATCAAAGTCTTCCTCGAAATACTTGTGCTTGATGCAATTTCAGTTCACATTTTGTGTGTGGCTTTCCCAAGCTGGGGTGTGAAATTCAAGCATCAGAGAAACCAGCGGGGTTTGTAGGTTGAAGTTAATAAAACAATGTGAGCCTATGTAGCTCAGATTAATAAAATAAATACACAGATGTGAGAATCTAACCTCACACATCCAGGAGAGATCATCCTACAAATCTGGTTCCTTGGTGGGGCAGGGGGTGCCTAGATCACTGGGCCAAGAGCAATGAGGAAAACTACTGTCCAAGTAATCAATAAAGCTCGATTTTTGCCAAATAAAGCTATTAGAATCTCCAACTCCTCAAAGATACTGCAAGAATTAATGACGAAATGGTTTTGAATGGCCAGTCTACTGTAAATAAAAGTTGCTTTTTAAGGATGTTATTATTAATGTTATTTCATGACCGGTGAAGGTACAAGATGTTGAATACTTAGGTCGTTTGATTAAATGACGATGCCGGCGTGATCACGGCTCAGGATTGGATTTCTATTCCAGACATGTTTTTAGTTTTGCACAGAGAGCATGTCTTGTTCTGATGGCAGATTATCTCTAGCCTTGATCAGCCACCTCTCATGTGCTCAGGCTGATGTCTCAGTTTGCTAATGGATAAATAACACAGCTTTCTCCACCCACTGATGTGGGTGGATAGGTCGCCTTTGTATGTAAAGCATATTATTATAAGCTGCAAGTTTTGGAAGACTGAACAAGCCTTTGCCAACATCTGGTCCTAATTCCTTCATTTAAAGTTGGGGAGATCAAGCCAGAGACAGTAAGTGGTTTGCCCCAAATCACTCCGTTGTGCCAGAGCCAGGGCTAAAATCTGGATCTATTCGTAAGTCCAATGTTTTTGCTGCGTCATTGTGCTGTATCCCCTCTGGTCTAGGATTCCCTTCTAAAACTTTTGGGTGCTTGGATTGAAAACAAATCCCTAGGGAGCCAGTACCCAGTAAAGTACAGCACAATCTTTGGTACCACCTGGTATTTTACGAGAGATTTTTCGTTATTCGTTGCAATTTCCAAGAGCACCAGACTTCGCCAGGCAGACAGCCAAAAGACAACAAGTCAATGTGCCGTGCCTGCAGGAAACTTCAAGGCAACTTTCGACAGTGTTCTAGAGATCAAAGCAAGCCAGCTGGTCTGATTGCGACAACTGATAATTGGTGGCCATCCCAGTTAGGCTGACAGGGTTTCTGACATGGTGGATAGCCTACGCACTGCATTTCTAGATTAAGTCAATCAGTCACGTCCAATTATTCGGCCACGTCGATTTGAGAACCTGCTACATGCAGAGCTTTATGAAAACCTCTTTGAAATGAAAAAGCAAAAGATTGGCCATGAGTTGTAATCTTCCCAGGTACAGGTAGAGATTCCCCAGGCTGGACTTCTCAGAGGTACCTGGTGAGGTGACCTTTTCGTGAAAGCCAGGACCCCTCGTGACATGTGACTTTCTGTCATGGTTTTCAAGGGGAAATGAAAAATTGGTCTCCATGATCCTTCTTAGCCCTGGTATTTTTCTCTCAAATGACACTTACTGTATACATTTTTCAGACAATCAGAGTAATGCACGTTTATTGTGGAAATACAGAAAATTACACAGAAAATAAGCACTCATAATTCCAATGTATTAGTAGCTGCCTCCAATTTTCTGGTTCAAAATTTTTCCAGTCCGTGTTTTAAGCATATATAGAAGTATATACCGATTATTTTTATGAAATTGAGATTCTACTGTATCCTACCCTGAAATTCTAGAAGTCTATATTATGTGCAGATCTCAACACAGTAAGTTTCTCGCTCAAAGCCTGGCATGTAATGGTTCCTCCATAAACATCTGTTAACTGAGTGGGGAGGGAAACCATGGTTTGCAGATCTGAGTAGCCTCATTGGAAGATCTCATATTTGGGCCGTGCCCAGATCTTGACCACAATCTCTGCATGCTAAAGAAACATACTGAACTGGAAATGACGACTTTCCTACCAGAAGGCTTCTCTGTCCCAGGAGAGCATCAGTGGTAATTCATCTCCCTTTTTTTGTGCTCATTATTTATTTCAGGAGATTCCAAGAGCTGCACATACAAAAGAGCTGTTGGAAACATGGACCTCGGTGAAAAATGGCCCTTGGAGGAAGGAACCTGGTTGTCTCATGCTGGAATTCATCACTTTGCCAACACCAGAGGGGGTATGGCTGCTTTTGATGTCCCTGATACACGTGGTACTCTTCAACTCCTGCATTCATTGTGTCAACCCAGCTGTGCTCAGTACGTGCCCAGTGCTGTTTGTCTTTTCAAAAAAAGCCAGGAGGAGAGGAGAGGAATGGACTTTGGAGTCAGGCAGACCTGGGTTCAGATCCTGAATTTCCTACTTATAAGCCACGTGGCCTGCGAAAGCCTATCGTATTCTCAGCTCTAACATGAGAGTAAGAATGCTTACTTCGTAGGGCTGTGATAAGGACTATGAGTAATGCGAGCTGTCATTTACTGAGCCCTTACCCTAGCTAGGGAGGAAGTGAGTCACACATCTCTGGGCACCTAACATGTGTCAGGTACTGTATTCCTGCTTATCTTGTCTCCTCTCCTCTCAACAGCCCTGCAAAGACTGGCATTGAGGATAATGCAACCAGTAGAAACAGAGTAGGTCAGCTCACTTTCTCTTCTTTTTTTCTTGCCTGACATCTGATTAATGCAAGTCAGTGTTAAGTGATGGGGATGCTGTAAGTTTCCTGGAGTGGCGCATACAAATGTAACCCTCACACAGACTTGTGGGCCTCTTTCAGGTCTAAGAACCACCCCCCGCCCCATCCTCCAAATCTAATGGAGATCTACTTTGGTGGTAGGAACCATTCTGTGGATAAGGAGATAAAGGCCCCTAATGCACTCACATGAGGTTTTTAGTAAGGTTATTGTCCCATTGTCCCATTGTCGTTTATACATTCGTCCAACCAGGATTGAGTATCTACTATGTGCCAAGCACTGGGAACACAAGGGAGAAAGATGGTCGGGGAGATCACCAGACCACACTCTGCTGCACCCCGTCTCTAAAATGGGTAACTTATAGAGCTCTGCCCCAGGGTATATCTTCCGACAGGGCCTACCACACGCAATGGGAGACTGCCCAAAGGGAAGGTCAAAACTTTGAGAAAACTTGGATGTTCAGCCAGAAGCCAACGGCTGTTCCCTCCTGTGCCCTGTCACGCCTCCACCTAACCACTTGTTAGAGGTTCTTATGCCGGTGTCTCCTCACGGCCCATGAAATACAGTTGAACCTCCCTTGCTCAACACACAGCCTTCCCTGATCAGACCTCTGCCTGTCTCTCTAGACTCATCTCCTGCTGTTCATTACTAAAAGCAAACCCCTTCTGTTGATGCACTGACCGGTCTCTGGATCCTTGGACATGTCATGCTCTCACACACCGTGAGCCTCTGCACGGGCTGTTACTACTATTTGCCTTCCGCCCGGCAGGTTCCCACGCATCAGTGAAGCCTCAGCCTAAGTCATCTATTCTGGATCTCTCCCTGCTGCCACCTACCACTCCACCCTGGTCTGACCGAGAGGTCTGACCTCAGCGCGGCCACGGAACTTACAGGTTCCCGTGTCCGGCGCCTGCCTTACCGTGTTGTGACGGTGCATAGCTTGGGCAGCCTCTGGGCTTCCTGAGGCCTTGCTTCATTGGCCTTTGCATCCCTTTCACAAGCAGCCTAGCGAATACTTGATGCATATACATCCAATGGCAGGCTGGCTGCCTGGCTCAGCGAATGAATAAATGGGTAGGACCGCATCCTGTGGGCATCTCTCCTTCGCTGAGAGCCACCTTTGACTGTGGTGACCCAGCTGGTCTGTGCACACCTCTCCCGGCACCATGGCACCACTTCATGGTACTGTGAGCACACCCATAGCATTCCATTCACCGCTCCAGGCTCGTTCACCAAAGTCTGAAGTCAGAGGAGAGAAAGGAAGTAGATGTGCTTTGTCTGCCGGTGCTTTTGTAACCTAGGCAATAGAATCACCTGTCACAGAATTTTAGAAGCTTTCAGGGCCATTGTGACAAGCCGGTGGCTAAAAACTGCTTGTTGCCACCAACTCCACAAATGACCACATCCCGCTATGAGTTGACCCTGCCGTGGATCTCCCATCTTCAGGGCACGGCTGGCTAGTAGGAAGGGAAACCAGACCGGTGTCTTAGAACTGCCTAATGGGGAGGCATTGGTCTCAGGTAATTGATAAGCTTCGGGGGCTGATGGAGGAGTTTAACTCTAGTGGGCAACAGATACCGGATATGTGGTCCCAGTTCGGACCCTCAGTAGGTGATGATGGAGGTGTCCAAGGCAAAGGATGGCAGTGGTGTGGTATGTGGGTGAAACACAGTGACAAAGAATCAAGGGAGCTGAAATCTAGAAATCCTTATGGGCAGCTAGTATTAGGGTGGTTCTCAGAGGCCTGGGCTGTGGTTCAGGGAAAGGGCTCAGGTCTTAAGAGGACTAGAGAGGTGGTCAGAATGGGAACTTGCACTCAGAAATAAAGTGGAAGCCCCGCTGGGCCAAAGCTAAGTCACAATTGGTGTCATCACCAAAATAAATAAAGAGCAGTCATTCACTGGGTATATACATTGCACCAGACATGATGCCGAGCCTTTTTTATATAGATATAGATGATCTCAATTCATTCTCACAACCTTCTTCTCATTTTATGAATGGAGAAACTGAGCCCGAAGAGGCTGACAAGAGGCTTGTGCAAGATCCTTCAGCTGGGAAGTGGCAGAGTGGGTATTTGAACTTCGATCTGCCTGACCCCGAGCCACTCTATGGCTATCGCTCCTCGCTTTACCCTCCAACACCCCCTTCTCAGTTTAGGCCTCTGGTGGGCCAGTTTCAGACGTTTATTGCCAGTCATTTCATTGTCATGGAAGAAAAGAGCCGTAGCTCGGAGCAGGGCCAGAAAACCAACAGTGCTGTTGCAACGTGTGGATTATCATCCAAGACCCTCCCACGGCCACTTCAGCTAATGCATTGCCTAGGCCTTGACCCACCTGCTTCTGAGCATCTTTCCTCCATGCCCTGACCCCTGTCCCATCTCTCCCACCCATTGTGGGATGCCCATTGTGGGCTAACAGAGTTTCCATTTCTAGTGAAGTACCAGGGAAAGTCCTGGAGTGTCCAGGCCTTCGGGTTTTGTTCTTGGCTTCATGGAATCCTCTGAGAACCGTGTTATCTGCCAGGGAGGCTCCGTCATCCCGGTGAGTCATCGGCCTTGGGGCAGGGCCAGATCCACGCAACATCTGCCTCTGTGTTATCGTCAGGGCGTCGCGGGCGGCCATTAGAGTAGGAACAGCCTTCAGGAAGCTGGCAAGGAGAACCCAGGATGTCTGGGGGTGAAATGAAGTTTCTGGAGGAAAGTCCCTCTGCCACTCTTGCTTCCTCCACTGCTAAAAACGCCCTCGAGGACCTGGGCCGGTGGTTTTTCCAACTTATTTGAAAGGGCTGGAACCCATTTTCCAAACGAAGCTGTCTGCAGTGCCTGACGCATCAGACAGAAGGGACCAGCATTTGGCCAGAGCTGTTTCCGATCGCTGCGTCACAGGCTGATGTGGCTGCTCCTTGGATTTGCCAGCTAGCACACCACACATGTGGGGATTTGGTGCAGGAGGGGCGGCCTCCGCAGCCCTCCTCGGCGAATCTCCAAATCCTGTTACAAATGCGTTCGCTCAGCCCTTCGGGAACCCTATTGTCCCTTCTTCCCAGTGGAATCCACCTGCTTATGTGTCTCCTCAGGGGAGAGCCAGGAAGTTTGGGAACCCTAACCCGGTAGGCCAGGCCAGGTGTGCGACAGAAATGCCGCGGTGCTGTCTCCATTATGGTTATAAAAACAGGAAGGAGCAGATTTCCCTTCCGGTTTCTCTCAAGGTCAGGGAGAGTTTTCACATCAGGCAGGAAGGAAAGGAGGAACGTTTTCTGAGAGCGCTGTGTGCGCTGAACGCTGCTGCGGGCGTTTTTCTATCTCCTATCGATTCTCACTGAAATCCCAACAAGGAGTTATTTGCATCATCCGCATTTTGCAGACGAGGAAACGGAGCCTTGGAGCGGCGAGATGGCGAAGCCAAGGTCGTACGGCTAAATGCCAGCAGAGCTCACGTTCGAACTCGGGCCTTTATCCCGCTGGGCTATGCGGTGTCCATTTTACTTCTTTGTTCGGTTTCAAAGGACATCGCTGTGTGGCATCTCCACCTTTCTGTGAGGCTTGTTTCTTTTTTGCACGTTTCTCTTGCATATGGCGCGGTAAAAAGACTAACACGATGGAATCTGTTATCCACAGTCCTCTGCTGGCACTTAAAAAAAGGGTTTTTTTTTTTTTTTTTTTTAATGTTTATTTATTTTGGGGAGAGTGCAAGCCGGAGAGGGGCAGAGAGGTGGGGGACAGAGGATCTGAAGCAGGCTCTGCGCTGACAGGCTGACTGCATGCAGTGAGCCCGATGTGAGGCTCGAACTCACCAACCGCGAGGTCATGACCTGAGCCAAAGTCGGTTTCTCAACTGACTGAGCCACCCAGGTGCCTCGATTTTTAATGTTTGTTTATTTTTCTGAGGCGGGGGAGGGGCAGTGAGAGGGAGACAGAATCTGAAGCAGCCTTCAGCACAGAGTCTGACGCGGGCCTCAAACTCTACGAACTGTGAAATCGTGATCTGAGTGGAAGTTGGACACCCTACCCCTGAGCCACCCAGGCGCCCCCTCTCCTGGCATTTGTTTTAACAAGTTCCATAAATGTCTTTTCGTGTTACAGAAGAGTTCACGGTCTGGGCAGGTTTGGACACTTCCCAAAGACTAGTGGCAAGACCAGAGCTCGCACCTTGGCCTCTACTGTTCCTTCCAGTACCTATGCTGTGTTGACTGCCAGGGCCATATCCTCTTGGAAATGCCATTCCAGTGTGAAAGGCAAGAGGCCTCAGGCAGGCTGAGAGGATTCTCTGCAGTCTCTGAGAGAAGAGAGTTCCTCTCAGGCCACAGTCCAGGATGCTTGGGTGGAAAATTCAAGATCAGGGCAGGTCTCCGCATCTCAGCGGAGACTCACATGCATCCTACGGATTTCTTTTGTCGCAGTTTGGTCACAGACTTCAATTGCAGCAAATGTTTTTGCCCTTAATCTCAACACAGGGTATTTTGTCTGATTTCACCCGGTAGATCCAACTGGGTGTGAGTTGGAAGTGTGTGATTTTCCCCTGCAGGGACCTTCTTCTGTGTGTATTTTTGGAATGGTTTTTTATTCTGAT